TGGAGAAATCTGGATCAAACTGCCGAGATTGAGGTGTTTGAGTTTAATCAACTGGTGTTTGGAATCAATTTAGCGCCTTTCATGGCTCAATTTGTAACGCAAGAACTCGCAAGAAAGTATGCACGAAAATTTTCTTTGGCTTCTGAAGCTGTTCTAGAAAAAACTTACATGGACAACACAATAACTTTTGTATTTGATGAAAAAATAAGAATTTAATTATAAAAGGTACTCACCTACTTTGGGGTTCAGAAGTAATGTTTGCAGAAAAGTGGTTTTCAAACTCGGTCGAAGTTCTTAAGATAACCCCAGAAAATGATCGTGCAGAACAAATAAATTTAAATTCTGGAGAATTGCCTGCAATAAAAAACTTGGAGTTGTCTGAAAAGCAAAACTTGATTTATTTAGTTTTCATTCTATTGCAACCGTTTTTAACCATAACGAATTTTGTTTAAAAAAGTGGCAAAGTTGTTTGATCCATTAGGTTTTTTAGCACCATATATCATTCGAATCAAAGTAATTATGCAAGAATTGTGCATTGATGGAATTGAGTGGGATGATGTAATTCCGGATAGAATTATAAATAATGTTGATCAATGGTTTTAAGAACTAAAAGATCTCCCAAAAATAAACATTCCCAGATGTTTACAAACAACTTTAACAGTTACAAATAAGTCATTCCACGTTTTTACGGTGCTGTTGCTTATCAACAATGTTTATATGACACAGGAGAAGAAACCTGTGTGATCATAATGTCAAAATCCATTTAAGTCCATTGCAAAACCGAGTAAGTCCATTGCAATCTATTAGTATACCAAGACTTGAGTAACTTGGAGCTGTCCTCGGTTTAAGACGGCAGAGAAGATTGTTAAAGCATTGAAGCTAGAAACTAAGAACGTAACTATATGGTGTGATAGTCTTAATGTTTTATGGTGGATAAAAAATCAAAGTCAAAAATTGAAACCATTTGTTTCCACCCGGGTTGGATTCATTCAATCAAAGACTGAACTAAAACAATGGAGATACATACCAACAAAAACAAATGTAGCTGATTACTACAGTAATAATGTATGGTGGCTCGGACCAAGTTTACTTAATTCTTTAGAAGAAAAATGGCCACAGAATCCAGTATTAATGAATTTTGCATTATCTACTGCAATAACAAATCAATTGCTTGAGATAAACAAGTTCTCATGTTGGAAAAAACTTGTCAGGATAAATGGATGGATCCATCAGTTTATGGGAAATTGTCAATTTAAAACAGACTTTTTTAAAAAGGGTGATATAACAGCTGATGAATATCATGAAAACGATAAAGAAATCATAGTTTAAGCTCAAAAAGAAAACTTTAAAGAAGAATATAGCAACATTAAAAAAAGAAGCAAAATCATTTTATTTAAATCCACAAATTGACAAAACCATTTCTTTAAATCCACAAATTGACGAAGACGGATTCTTGCGATCTTGTAGTCAATTGCAAAATACCCATTACTTACCCTAAGATGTTAAGCATCCAATCATTTTGCCGAGAGGACATACAATAACAAAATTGATTGTGAAACATTACCATAACGAAGTCAATCATGTGATGGGAACAAATCAATTATTAACAAAACTATCAGAACGATATTGGGTCATACGAGGACGAGAAGAGATCCGAGATGCAGAAGCAAAATGCGACAAATGTAAATTAAGAAGATGTAAACCTGCTCAACAGCTGATAACCCCATTACCTGCAATGCGCTTTAAAGAACCACTACGTGTGTTTGCTAGAATTAGTATCAATTTTGCTGGCAATTTCTTACTATGCAAGGTAGAGGGAAGATACGACAAAAAAGATACTTATGCTTGTTTACCTGCTTACTATCACAAGCAGTACATCTTGAGATAGCTTTTAATCTAGATACAAATTCATTTCTCAATGCCTTTTATCGAATGGTGAATAGATATGGATTACCCTTGGAAGTTTTAACGGACAATGGAACAAATTTTGTTGGAGGATGTCGAGAACTAAAAGAAATTGTCAACGACTGGATAAGGATAAAATTACTAACTCTACAGCTTGTACAGTTGGTATTTTGATCCTACAACCGTAATTTTTGCCCTTGCCACTTCTCATGAGTTTGTCTTCAATTACATAAATGAGGAGATGGCAAGGAAGTTAATAAAGTGCTCTAGACCCAAGACCTACAACTTTGAGAGAAGGATTAATTCTGGATTTATTAAAAAAAGGAGGAATTTGTCCAGTTTATTGAGCCACCTACTCTTACTGATTATTTAGGTTTTGAGTCTTGAATAGTTTTTAATATCCTGGAATATAATGAACAACAAGTCAAGTGGCTCTTGTTTCTCTCTGCTGCATGGAAAGTTGACCCCGGCTTCTTGGCTTTCCAGGCTTTTGTCAAAAACTTGGCAGTAGTAAATAATGTTGCAGAGAGAGCTGTAAAGGCGGTTTAGGAGGCAGTTTTACAGACTTACCAAGAGAAAAAGCTTAAGAAAATGCTTCTTGTGAAGAGTAAAGTCAACAAACCCCTTTTCAGAACTAAAGCTGCTTACAAGAAAGCTGCTGAGCAACTGAATCCAGCAGAAAAGTATAGTTGCATATATAGGAAAAGGCTTTTGAGGAAACAGAAGTTTCCCTTTTCAGTAACAGTGAACTTGACAGCAGAATTGATATAGTGGAAGAAGATTATATTTTGGAGGCTCTGTGGGTAGAGAATGAGGTTATAAACAATGCTGAAACCTAATATATTTTTTCAATAGTTTCATATTTATGCTGAGAGAACATAGAAGGACAATAGAAGAATATAAAAGTCCTCCCTCTTTTCTGATAAATAAGAATAGGAAATTCTACAGCCCCCAAACCTCCCACACCTAAAAATTTGTAAATTTTTCTAAGCATTCAGGAATATTAAGAATTACTAAATTCTAGTAAATACGTTATTACTACTATTGAGAAATATTGCTGAGTAGAGAGACCAAGTCCCCTTGGGGGGAGGGTCTCTGTCACAAGATACAGAAATGTATATTTCAAATAGGACATCTAAATCCTTAAGGAAATTACACAAAAAACTTTAGGTTGCTATGACTGTTGTACCATAATGCTATAAAATCTGTGTGGTTTAAGTGATTCATAGATTGACCTCTATTTTCTCGCGTAACTTTGAAATATAGTTTGGCGCAATATGAAGCAATAGAGCTGGGAGCTTGATTTTTTTACACACTATCTATACATAGTCAAATATAAAATATGTCATATACATGTGTGTATTACACTCAGGTCTCCAGATATTTGTCAATCTGTAAAAGTTTCAAAATTTATAAAAAATTTCGTCAACTTGCGCGATATGAAAAAATAATTTTTTTAAAAAATTAAAATTATATCCTGAAATCACTTTATACTTCCCAACTTTTATATATATATATATATATATATATATATATATATATATATATATATATATATATATATATATATATATATATATATATATATTAATAAATAATGCAAAAAGCAAAAAAAGTAATTTATATCTACTATACAATGACGTACGTAAGGGAAAAGAGAGGTGTTTGACTAGCAGTGAATCATGGACAGCAACAGATTACTCTGAAGGCTTCAATTTCTAAGCATAAGTAGATCATACTGTGATGCACCTATTGAAAGTACAACATGATGTTATCGATTCATTTGTTTTTGATAGGCTGATTCTGCGTTCAAAAGTAGATTTTAATGGTTTAAACGGGCCAAACGTTTACACACAAATTACTGATAACCTAGAAAACAGAAGGTTTGTACAATAAGCAAGTTTATTTCTTACCTGCTTTGTACCACTCGAATTGAAAAGATTTTCGGGACAAAAGGAGAAGATTGTTCGGAGAAATTTCTTAAAAATGCTACTAGAAACTTGACTACAACTGCTGTGCCTGAGTATGTAAACTTAACTGTTCTTCACATAGTTGATTTTAATATGATAGATGAAAAAGTAGCCACTGCATTATCTACAGCTACTAATTCAACTCAGAGCTGCTCAGTTTGTGGTTCAACACCAAGTCAAATGAACTAAATTAATATCGTGTGCAGTTTTCCATTAACTCCAACGGGATTAAAATATGGCTTGTCAATACTTCATGCTTGATTTCATGGATTTGTTTCATGGAGTGCTTGTTAAAAGTCAGCTACAAAGCTGAAGTAAAGAAATGTGCATCAAGGTCAGATGCATAAAAAAAAAGAAAATAAAGCTAAAAAGAATTTAATACAATCTAAGTACATAAATGAAGTTGGGCTGGTGATTGATATCCATAGGTCTGGTGGTTTTGGATCATCAAATAATGGCAATACTGCCCAATGTTTTTTCAGAAATATGTTGCGCTGTGTACTTTGTCTGGTTTCATGATTGATGCTGATAAGTTAAAAGACTATTGCTTAGAAACAAACAGCTATTTATACAACTTTATCTCTGGTACTACTTGCCTCAGAGCTAGTACAGAATCTTGATACATGGATGGCAGGTTGTTGATCAGATAGTGTTGCCATTTGGAATGATGAGTGAAAGGCCTTAGAAGTACAAAATAAAGAAAAAAATTTTGCGAAATTGTTTCAAATAAATGCCAAATAAATCCCCCTTTTTTCCCATTTATTAACTTTAAAATTTTTCTTTCATCTCCTGGTTTTATTTAAACCACCACGTTTATTAATTTTTAGCATTTTTTTTCGCTCATTTTCTAAAAATAATTTATTAATTTGACATGAGTTTTTATCATACTTATCATAGACTGATAAAAAAAAGTGTCGGCGTAAAACATACATTTTTTCCTAATAAATTATTCAATAAACAGTAACTCCTTTTTAACGCCATATATTTATTACCATAGATTTATTTTTAAGCTTGTTTTAGTTTGTAAATAGTTCTTTTTTTCTTCTTCAAGAATTCTGTCTTACAAAGTCATGTCAGGTCCCGTCAAAAAAGAACTTATATTTAATATTAGTTAATAAACTTATATCATAATTACTAAACTTTTTCTCGTTTTTCTAATATTTATGTTACTAGTTTCTAGGATTTTAGATAAATACAGTCTATTTACATACTAGTTACATAATTAGTGACTTGGAATGATAATATTTATAATTTATTGAGGAAGCATATTCTCTAGGTAGCTAAGTTATAAATGCAACACTGTACATTAAAGTAAAATAGTTAATCTATACTCCATATTTCGGTTGTGTGAAGACGAAATGCTTTTTCCAAAGCTATTGCTGAAAAATATGTCCCCATTCCCATAAACAAAAAGCTAAAAATAATAATTATTCCATCTAATAGTTTTTCTAAGTTTGAAATCTCATCATATTTAAGTTTTAGCTGAAAAAAACACGGAAAAATCATTTCTAAAAATGATCCTGTAAAACTACCGATAAACGCAAGAACTAAACAAAAATGAGGAACGCTCAGAGCCATCACAAGCGTTATTGAAACAAGCGAAATTCGAATTATAATTCGACGCATATTGACTTTCTTTAGATTTTTTTCTATAGGAATCTTGGCATAACCTTCATTATTACAATCGTTTGATTGATCTCCAGAAATTATCCAAAATGAGTCTTTTTCTATGATCTCAAAAACAGTAAACATCGGGAGAGTGTAAGATGACAAACTTAATAGAACAACTACTATGTTAACAGCGGTCAACAAAACACCCGATGGAAGGTTTAAAGTCACTACTTGTGAAGTTTCTTTACCGAATGTTATATAAGCAATCACACCAATTCCTATTTTAAGTAGTGTCATGGCCGCATAACCAGCGTTCATAACGCTTTTAATGCATTGAGGTTTTGCCATGTTTTCTTCAATAACTGATAAATACATCTGCGATGAATAGCTCGCAATTATTACACCGCATGATGATACGAATTCACTTAATGAAAAATGTTCCAACTGAGTTATATCCCATTGTTTGTACTCAGTAAAGCAATATAAATTAACAATGAAAAAAACAAATGATGCAGATACAACCGTCACTGTGCTCATAAAAGATATATGACTTACACGCCGAATAAAGATGTTGGGCAGTATAACTATACCAAATATTAGAACCCAAATCGCAGACGATATTTTAAATGGACATAGCGTTTTGAAAACGGACGTTGCAACGATTGGATATAAAGTTGCCATAAATAATAGTTCAAGAATTTGAACAATTAAAATAAGATCTTTTCCACACCATGGCCACACTTTGAATCCAATATCAGCATAAGATATTCTGAAAAAAAAAGATATAAAAGAAAAAAAAATTATAAAATGTTAAATGTTGAAAATTCCAGGAAAAATTATTACCTTGTACGCTTGCGTATAACTTCGCCACTCTCTTGGTTTTTTAATGTTTCGTAATGACAATCTAACAATATTTGTCCAGTATAATTTGAAATAGATGCTATAACCACCATAGAAACAATACTCCACCATCCGCCCCCTTTAATAACATATGGCATAGCTAAAATGGCTACGCCTTGTATTGAATTACAAATGTTCCAAAAAGCATTTATTGAAGTAACTTGATTTTCAACCTCTCTTTTCTCGAGTAGGCATTCTTCATCAGTTGAGATTTTTGTATAACGGTTTACTTTGTTAAAGAGATTATACAGTAGATTTGAATCCATTACTGTTCTATTGTGGTAAAGTAATTTAAGCTTTCCATATAAAATCGAGACAATTTAAAATCACAAAATCAAAGAACAGATGTTAGACAAAAATATGCTTGAATTAATTTACGTATTCGTATACGCAAACAAAAAGCTGTGTATTAATATAAGCGTAAGCTAAAATTTTAAAAAACGGAAATAAGCAATTGTTGAAAAACTGAAAATACTTATGTTGTTTGTAAAGCACATGTGCATAAGATATGCTGGCGATGCTAAACAGTAACCACATTATGATCACGTTGGAATTAAACTTTAAGATTATAAAAACAGTATTATATAATAATAATAATAAAAAAAAAACAGAACAGTATTTTTATGAATTTTTTTTTATGGCATTTTTTTTAATTTTCATCATATTATTTTTATCATGATTTCCAATAGAAGATTTATCGACCCATCTGCCTAAGTTAAGCTTTGTGGAAAGTTTGAGGTTCACTTCTTTTTTCTTCTTCTTGAATATACCCATTGATTGCTCCATAGATTTAATTTTATCTTCTTTCTTTTTCTTTGCCTTCATCCTTTCCATAAGCAACTTATAAGGTTCTTTCTGTTGTTTCTTTTTTCGAGCGCCCAAATGTTCAGCATAGCGTTGCATGCTCTTTTTTTGTTCTTTTTTAGTAAAACCCGTAATTCCAAACTCTTTAACTTCACGTGCAATACTTACAAAATTTATTTCCTCTGTGTTCTCTTCAGTACTTGGTTTACTGTTTTTCAGTGATTTATTTTTATAACTTTTTAATGTACGGCTGGGATCTTTAAATACAATAATTTTGGGTTCGCGTTTTTTAGACACGGAAAAATCATTTTTTTGATTGCTCATCTTTTAAACTAGAGAAAAAAAAAAGATGCACGTTTTCAATATTACAACAATTTAATATTAATATTAATATATATATATATATATATATATATATATATATATATATATATATATATTAAAAAATATAAAGATATAATATAAATATATATTAAAAAATATAAAGACTATATATATATATATATATATATATATATATATATATATATATATATATATATATATATATATATATATATATATATATATATATATATATATATATATATATATTAAAAAATATAAAGAATGTATATATATATTTTTAAAATATAAAGCATGAAACAACAGCATGAAACAAATTTAGACTTGTTTTTGCACAGATCGTCATCAGACATAAAATATAATACAAAAAACCGTTACAAATATTACATAAAAACGTCAAAGAAGCCATAAATAATTACATAACAATTTAAATATAAATTGAACAAATATTATTTAATTCCGTTTATTTGAATTATTTTTTTAAACAGAGGTCTCTAACTGTTTGTAAATATTTTAACGCCATTGTCACGGTTGCAAAATATAAGAACGTGTTTTATTCTTTGTATTGTACGTGTTTTATTTCTTTGTATGAATTACGAGTGTCTCACTTTACGTTCATCATACTCTGATTTTATTGCGAGAGTGTTGGGATCTGACCAATTAAACATACCGTAACATTCTCTACTATGTTCGGTTACCCCAGATGCATCCCATTTACCTTTTAAATAGTTTTTTTTTTATGTTTTTTTTTAAACATCAAAGAAACTATTTATAAAAAAATTTAGTTAGTACGCAGCTGTTGTTTTATGCTTTATATTATAAATATATATATTCACATACAACAAGATAAGACATTGAAACATTTAACATTAATATATATATATATATATATATATATATATATATATATATATATATATATATATATATATATGTATGTATGTATGTATGTATGTATGTATGTATGTATGTATGTATGTATGTATGTATGTATGTATGTATGTATGTATGTATGTATGTATGTATGTATATATATGTATATATATATATATATATATATATATATATATATATAATATATATATATATATATATATATATATATATATATATATATATTTATATATATTAGAGTGGCTCAAAACACAACATTTTCAAAAAATATCTGCAGCTCACATCTTGAATTCTTTATGATTAAATAACACTGCATTTGAAAATTTTTTTAATTAAAAATATTTATAACAACAATGTATAAATTTGAAAAAAGTTTTTCAAAAGTATATCTTGTTGGGTCTCAAATGAAGCAAAATTATATAAAATTTCAAAAATAATAATCATCTTATAAAAAAAAAATATGTATTTAAAAAAAATATATTACCATAAAACCTTGTAAAAATGCACTTTTTTAATTTTTAATTAAAAAGTTTTAATTGCTATGCAGTAAAATCTATAATAATAATTTTTATAAAATGATTATTATTATTGAAATTTATATATAAGCTACAGAATATTTTTTAAATGTTGTTTCTTGAAGCTCCCTAATATATATATATATATATATATATATATATATATATATATATATATATATATATATATATATATATATATATATATATATATATATATATATCTGTGTGTGTGTGTGTGTGTGTGTGTGTGTGTGTGTGTGTGTGTGTGTGTGTGTGTGTGTGTGTGTGTGTGTGTGTGTGTGTATTAAAATTAACCTTTTAAATTTAAATTAATTTATAATTTAATCAACTCATTTATAACAACAAGTTAAAATAGTAATAATAACAAAATCAATATACATAATATATATATATATATATATATATATATATATATATATATATATATATATATATATATATATATATATATATATATATATATATATATATATATATAATATATATATATATATATATATATATGATATATATATATATGATATATATATGATATATTATATATGATGTTTTAAATGAGACAAAATTTAAAAAATAATCTTTTTGAAGCTTTAGAATAGTCGTTACAGTTACTCTTCTCTAACGTTTAATTCTCAATATTGTTTTATTTATTATTAAAAAATAAATAAGTAAAAAAATATAAATGCAAAAACTTTTTTTTTTGTTTATTAACATAAAAACAAATAGACAGAAGAAAAAACAATCCGCCTGTAAAATAAAACATAATATAAAATCTTTCACTTATTATTTTCATAAAAAAGGTAGAATGTATTGTTGCACATGTCGTGACGTCGAAAAATAGCTGCTTATCTTCAATAGATTCTTGCAAATATTTAAATTTCGTCATCATCAAAGAACCATATCTATCAAGAAGAATCAAATATAGGAATCAATTCTCGACTAGATTATTTTCGTCATCAGTATCAACAAGTTGTTCAATCTGAATAAGCGAGAAAAAAATTACTTTAGAGTCAAAAAAAAAAAAGAAAAAAAAAAAGTAGAATATAGATTTCGAAGTTAAGCTATAATGAATCGTGCGAAGTAATGTTTTTCTCGGGAGGACAATAACGCAAACAAACCGATTATAAATAAGTAAATAACAAAACGCATCAGGGATAAATTTTCGAAAAAATATGCATTTAAAAACATTAATTTTATTTAAATGTAACTCAAAAGAAATTTAGAATAGAAATTGTTATTGTTGTTGAGCTAATTAATTACATAAAAATTAAGAACAAGGAAAATCCAGGATTTATTAGGTTTTCTTATAAAATATATGCAGAATTATAATGTTAAAGTCTCACAGATGTTTCGTATTTGTGGACTTGAAACCAATCCTGAAGAATTTAATTTCAAGACCAGAGAGGTAAGCTTAGTTTTAGTCATGCAGTCATATTTGTATTCTTACCATTGCTCAATTGGGATGAGATTTAAGAAGTTTTTAGACCATTTTAAAATTTAAAATGGTCTTCAAACTTGAAAACCCTAGCCATGCAGGAACACCAAGCAGAAAATATATCATAACTGCTAAAGGCAATCTAAATTTTTTGCATTTTTTCGGTAACTGTAGATTTTAACAAATAAAACAAAACATCTTTATCATCAGAAGTGCATTATAGGTCCTGCAAAACCATTATTTGAAAATGAAAATGCTTTTTTTATCTTGTTACATGTTACTATACTATAAATCATAATATTTTTTCGTTTAACGATTTTGTGCCAATAAAAATATTCATCAGATTCATAATTTCCGCATAACGATGAGGTCTATAGCTTTAAATTTTTAAGTTTAAAAGGTTTTAATTTTTTCAAACAAAAAAATCTTAATAACAAAATTACAAAATACATAAAAAAAAAAAAAAAAAAAATTTGCAAAAATGTCATATAGTAAAAATCATTATATATATTAAAAACTTTCTTGAGTATTTTTTTTTTCAAATAAGAGAAAACTTACTTCTGAGTCATTTATAGCATTACGAAACTCTGTTAAGCCCGTTAAATCTTCTAGAAAGGTTGGTAAATTAAATACTTTGTGCAAAAAAGAGAACCCATCCTCCTCGTAAGCTTTTAAAACCTAAATACATAGAAACAGTTTAAAAGCAAAATTTAAATTTAAAAATTTTTTTCAAGGCTAAAAAACAAATAGAAACAAAAAAAAAAAAAAAAAAAAATTATTACAAATACTAGAAAAAGACTAATTATATTTTAAAATTATTATAATTAGGTTTTATAATATTTTAGAATTGAAATCAATCTTCTAAAACCTTTACTTAAAGTTAATCTTACGGGATCTTTACCTAAAATTAACCATCCGAAATTATTACTAAAAATTAATCTTCTTAAATCTCTACTTCAAATTAATCTTCTACAAAAAGAAAAAGTACGAAGTCTAGCTAAGCTAGACTTTAAAAAATTGTTTTTTAACATAAATTGTTAAATTTTAAACAATTTATGTTAAAAATTAATCTTATTTCAATTTGAAGTTTTTATTTATCTAAGATTCTACAAAGCTTTAGTCTAAGCTATTCTTAATTTATTACTTGATTTGATAAAAAGAGTATTTAGTTATTTTTTGTTAATTGTCGATGAAACCTCATATTATGACCTCGTGTAGTTGAAGCTAATAAATTATCAGGTGGGTATTCCCAGGTTAAGCTATCTATTTGTTTTACTATTTTGAAAAACTGATTTTGGTTAATATGGTAGTGTTTTTTTTTAAAAATCCTTACTTAAATGTAATTTTAATTTAGTCTTGTTTCATAGTTTTTCCCTTCAAACATTTTATTTATGTCGCTTTGCGTTGTATTGTTTCAATTTTTTATTTACTTTTTCTAACAAGGATTCCTTTTTAATATAGCCAAAATTAATAAAGCCATAATTTAAAATAGCCATAATTTCGACCATGTCATTAATTAATTTAAATCATTTTGAGTCTTTTATAAAACAGATGCTGAACTAATTATGTTAATTAGCTTTATATCAGCAGCCAATCATTTTACACTTAGTTAATAACTTGTTTGGTAAACATAAACAGACCAAAAACAGAACCATGTGGCACACCACTTGTAACAGCAAACCAATTTGAAAATTCATTATCACAGACAACATGTTGCACTCTGTTAACACAAAATTAATAAAATTTCCTTAAAATTAATCTTTTGTAATCTTTACTTGAAGCTAATCTTTAGTTAAAACCAGCTAAATATCAGTAAAAATCTTTTTTTTTTTTTTTTTTTTTGATAATATGCAAAATTGACTAATTTACAAAACTTTAATACAAACAGTATTCATATAATAAAATTAATAAATTTACTAATTTTCACTTTATTCAAACAATTCTGAAAATAAATTAATAAATTCACTAATTTTTACTTTATTCGAACAAGTCTGAAATAGTAATTAAAAACAATTTAAACTGTTGTTTTTTAAAAAAAATTAAATTGTTTGGATAAAGTTGCTAGATGTAATAACGAAAAAATATCTAGATTTTTTTATATATTTTTTTAATAATAAAAATCTTAGATTAGAAAAAAAAAAAAATATGATTAAAAAATTCTTTATAACAACAAGGAGTTAAAAGAAATATAATTAGAGCAGATTTGAAGAAATTGTAAATGTCTGAAAAATGCAACCTATTAAAAAGATTTCAACCCTTTCACTCCCAGAAAAAAAACACAGTAAAGTGATTGTAAGTGAAGTGAAATGACATTGATTTAAAAGCTGTAAAATAAAATCAAATTGTCAAAATTTCACAAATGAGATTTTTTTTGTCATAAAAATGGCTGCAAAACTATTTTTTTTAATACAATTTTTTTACCTTTGTCATGTGATCTAATGCCATTTTTTACGTGGTCGTATTTACTAACAAATGTTATGACCCCCATAGTGAATCACACGGACTGAAAAGCTTAAAGCTAGTTGTAGAAAAGAGTCACAAAAATTTGATGAGCATATAGTTTGATATTTTTAATTATATAAAAATATTCGCTAATGATGGTACTTGATGATGGTGGTAAAGACTAAGAAAAAGATATCAAAATATTCAAATAGCATTTCCCCAAATCTAAAGAAAACAGTTGATCCAACTATACTTTTAAAAGTAGTTCCAAAAAATCAGAATTGGTATTTATAAAAAAAGTCAAAAGTTGGTATTTATAAAAAAAGTCAAAAGTTGGTATTTATAATAAAAGTTACGAGTTGGTATTTATAAAAAAATTTATGAACTGAGTATAATTATTATTATTGGAATGGATTTAATTATTATTTCTGGAGTGAATTTAAAACATTTGTTCACACAAACAAAACTGTCCAATACTAACTTATCTAACTAAAATATAAATGTTTACTTAACAGAGTAAACTCTGTAAGGACAGAATCAATCAGCAATACACCTTTTAGGTAAAACATAACCTTTAAAACTTTTAGGTAAAACATAACTTTTAAAACTATTAGGTAAAATATAACCTTTCAAACTTTTAGGTAAAACATAACCTTTAAAACTTTAAGGTAAAACATAACCTTTACAAACTTTTAGGTAAAACCTTAATAAATTTCTTTAAATATGCTTTTATATATTACTTCAATAATTACTTTATTTTTAATTAATGACTAACAATTTATTTATAATTTTGTATTGAAATAAATTTATATATATATATATATATATATATATATATATATATATATATATATATATATACATATATATATATATATATATATATATATATATATATATATATATATATATATATATATATATATATATATATATATATATATATATATATATATATATATATATATATATATATATATATATATATATATATATATATATATGTGTATGTATATATATATATATGTGTATATATATATATATATATATATATATATATATATATATATATATATATATCAGATAATCAAGACTTACTAAAGGAGAACAACAGGTACATTTATCAAAAGCACGACATGCTGGTAATACAATATGGAAACGAGATAAAAAACAACGTATCTAAATAAAATATTACAGAACAAAGAAAAAAAAATAAATGAATGTAAAATAAAAGGTATTTGATTATCATTACAAAAGTTAAGTAAAGTTTTTAAAGTTTTTATTTTTTTACAATTTTTAACAATTAATTTCTTTGGTTCCATACTTATACAGTCTGGCTATTTTCTTATTCAAATATAACATTATGGATAATTTAAAACATTTTGTAAAAGTTTGTAAAAAACATTTTACAAATTTCTTTACTTCTCCTGGTATTAACCTATTGCAGATCAGAAATGAGTACTTTTATTGTGATAAAGGTATTTCTCCTATTGGTAGAAATCAAAGGTAATTCAAAAAGAATTGCCATCAAAGGTTTACAAGCTTCTCCTACCCTTACCCACAATTCAATTGAAGGTTATTTACTTTAAGAAAATTTTAAATAGTGTCATTAACAAAAGGAAATCTTTCATTCCATTTCTCATTTAATCTCTCCAGGATTGGACAGAAATATTTGCAAGCACTTATTTCTTTGACATCATTTAAATCTAATGACCAATCTTCCTAAAATCCAAGGAAAAAGGTTAATCCATTGTTTAACATCTAAATTATTCAGTCTTCTGTTTCTAAAGTCATTTTTTACTTAAATTCTTTTGTATCTTGTGGTTCTCAAAACACTCCTGTCACAATCTTACAAAAATATTCATCAGAACTCTCTTAGATATATACTACTAAATATAAACTACTTAACAAATGTGTAACTTTGTATACTAAATATAAACTACTTAACAAATGTGAATTTTGTTTACCTGTCTGTTGGAAAATAGGATTGTATTTTCTGACTTTTAATTGATTGTGGTTCCAGTTTATAAAAACTATTGAGATTATTTTGAACCATTTACCTAATCATTCTTCTAACAATTATTAAATAAATCTTTGATTTTTCAATTGACAACTTCTAATATTTCATCTTGAACAACTCTAACAATCTAATTGTATATTATATGTTCTTTTTTAACTGCTGTATTAATGTCTTACTTAATGGACAACAATCCTTTTCATTTCCCAAAAATTTTGAGGTAGCACAAAATTCCATCCTAATGATTTTCCCAATATAATAGTCTTACCTCTAAAGTGGCTCTATTTTCAGCCTGAAGCTCGCAAACTGTCACTGGCTGGTAAATTTTAACCTAAAACTACCTGTCTACTGCTAATTATCACAATAATATTGGTATTATTATATTGAAAATGGCTACACTCTTACTGAGTCCTCTGCCTTACATTTTCTTGAACTATCTTTTACTACTGACTTTTATGAAAACCATTTACCCAAACAATTGCAAAGCTGGTACCGACTCAAGTCTTTACATTTGCTAACTCCTGATTCTACTCTCAACCTCTGCAAATACTTTAGCCTTTCTTGTTCGAAATACTGTTGTCATATTTGAGTTGGTTCTCCAACAAATATCTTTCTTTTGGACAAAGTTCAAATACACATTGTAAATGTAGTTAAACTTGCTCTGGCTTCTTAGCTTCTGTCCCATCACCTTAAAGTTGCATGATTTCTATTTTCAACAAAGACTATTAACCAAAACACAATCTCATATGCATCCACATTAAGCAAATTTTAAAAATTTATACGGTAATTGTTTTTTCATCCCCATAAAGTTTTATTTAGTGATTTTCCTCAAACATTGATACGTTGAAATTCACTTTCTTTCATGTTTTTCTGAAGTTTTTTTTTAAGACAAGTCTTAAAAAAAAAAAACTTTTTAACCCTTTTCTTTACTTTCTAATAACTCCTAACCTAAACAATGGTTGCTTGCGACTCCTTACTTAAATAGTGGTTGCTAATAACTCCTAACTTAAACAATGGTTGCTAGTATATATTTAGTATAAAGTAAAACATAATTGAGAAAAAGATGCATATTAAACAAAATTACAAAAATTAAATACTTGATGTGGAATTATACCAATAGGTGTTTCAAACTCTGCTTCTAAATGGTTTTCATTGGCACTGGTTTCAGCTGGGGCCAAATTACTTAATTTGAAAAAAATATAATTTACTTAAAACTTTAAAAAAATAAGTTAAAACAAATGAAAATTTTTTATTACCCTAAAGGATGTTGGAGCAAAGAAATTAATAACTCCACAGCTGATGCACTAGCCATCATTGATACACCTGGTCGAGATACAGTACACTGTTGATCAAGTGTGCGGTCTATAGTAGACTAAATAATTGAACAACATTTTAGTTATGCTGAAAAATTAGAGAATAAAAATTAACTTATTTTTAAATGCAAAAAACAAAAAAAACACAAATATTCATACATTCCCAGGAGCCACAACATCATTGCAAAAATAACATCCTAATTGATGACCAGGAATTCTAACAGTTTTTGAATTAATCTCTTCAAAATTTTCCAAAACTAATTGTTGATTTCCATGTCTCATCACTAAAAATGTATCAAAACCCAATGCAGCATTGATCAATATCTATAAAAAAACATTAAATACTACTTTGTCAAAAAATAACAAAAACCAATTCAAAATAATAAAAAAATATAAAAAAAAAACTCAATAATAGAACAAAATAAAAAGTAAATTAACATTATTTATCAAGATTTCAAGAAAAACCTTTCTTTTGGAAGCAGCAATAACTGATGGAAGCCACCTACTTTCTCGTGAGTCCATGAGAAGAAATACAGCATCATGCTGAGAAATTAATTCTTCCAGAGTTGCAACATCATTTTGAATAGATCTTTCATCTTATATATATATATATATATATATATATATATATATATATATATATACATATATATATATATATATATATATATATATATATATATATATATATATATATATATATATATATATATATATATATATATGCATGTATATATATACATGTATATATATATGAATGGGTGTATATATATATAATTGTATATATATATGTATATTTATATATATAATTGTATATATATATATAAATATATAATTGTGTATATAAATATATATACATATATATATATATATATATATATATATATATATATATATATATATATATATATATATATATATATATAAGTTTAATTTTGCTGTGAGTATATATTCAGCAAGAGTGCTCGATGAATAATATCAGAGCTATATAATTGTTTTTTTTGACAAGGTTAAATAAAAATTAACTACATAATTTTTACTACTCTTACTAAAAAATAAATTTTTTAGTTGTGTACCTAATCCTCACATGTGCAAAAATGTTTTAATGGAGCGATGTTAAAATCCTGATTTAACACTTTAAATTTTTACTACTCCTGCAGACTCAAAATTTGTGTTTTATTTCACAATGGTAATCAATTTTCCAGCAATAATATTCTGGAGCTCTTTTTACTATCCCATCTTTTACAGCCATGCAGTATTTAGACAAAACTTCAGTACCAATGCATCTAGAAAAATTGCTTAACTAAACCATGTAATACAATGTATACCATAAATTAAAACTCATACAAATGGTATACTATGAAAAATGCCAACTTTCAATTGTTAAAAACATACTTTTCTCTGGAGTATTTTTATAAGCAACAGTTCTGTTTAGAACTGTTAGAGCTGAAATTTCTGTAAACCATTTTCAGAGATACTTTTCAAATTCACACAATATAAAAATGTTTTTATAGCCTTGAAATAGGTTGTGAATATGAAAATGTTTTTCACAACCACAACCTACTTCTGCAATTATTGCAGAAATATTATTATCAAGGTTAGTTAACTTTCTTGTACCAAATTCAGCATATATTGATTTGGGTATTAAATTAATTTTTTTAATGCACCCACAGTTTTTAAATTTTAATTCTAACAAATGTAAAAACACTTTTCTACTAGAATCAATGATTCTGGTAGAAAATGTTTAAAGCAGTTATTGCACGCAGTTGGTAGAAAATGTTTAAAGCATGTGCACATGTTTATTGCACGCAGTTTCAACAATCAGTTCTTCAAAAATTGAAAAGTTAGTAAAATAAAACAAATTATTTTTTTGATGTGATATTTTTAAAGTTATGAATACCTAACAAATTCTTAACTGTGGTACTGAAATGTGATTTTTATCTTAGTTATGGGGAAAAAAAAAAGACAAAAAATCCCACAAAAATTGCCAAATCAGGACACTTCATAAAAATCTTTCTCAACAAGAAATCGCCAGAAAATTTGGTATTTTGCGAGTTTCTGTACAATATATACAGAAAAAATGACTAATGTGGAGAACTCAATACCAAAGAGGGTTGGTAAATGTGGAATGAAGAGAATCCTCTTCATTCACCACACCGGAAACACCACATAAGAAAAAATACAAAGATTGTTTGAGAAAATAGGCCAAGATTGTAATTCCATTATGAGTATTCCATTACTTGATTGACCAGAAAACTCACCTGAACTAAGTCTTATTAAAAATGTTTGAATGCTCTAACTAAATTATTTTGTTTAAATTAAAAAAATAAAAATATATTATAAAATTATAAATGTATTTGTCAATATTCAAGAATGTATATATTCTTATTTTAAAACAATCTTGTCAACAATAAAGGGATCCTAAAGTCCAGAGACAACAATTGCTATAAAATATTTTATTTTAAGAAACAAAAATTGCCTGTCATAATTGTCAGTGTCTTCGACACCTGTTTTAGAGATGTTATTTTAAGAAACAAAAATTGCCTGTCATGCTTTCGACACCTGTTTTAGAGAGCTGAGTACTTTTATTGTGACGAAGATTAAAATTCATAGTTTATGAGCTCCTCCTACCCTTACCCAAAACTAAATTTTGGGGTTTATATCAGTTTTCCTTTTCCCTTAGTAAATTGCCTCTACCATTGTTAAGGAGTCTTTACTATAAAGCTATACTATGAATTGAACCAATGAAACAGGTTATACTGGATTAAATTTTATCAGTAGCAGGGTCACTTGACCTGATCATAATTGATTGATTGATACAAATTCAAACAAAATTTAAAAATGTATTTTAATCATTGAACTGATATCATCTATTGATAAATACTAAAATTTAAACTATCTTCTAAAATGGGTGACCTGACCTGACTTAGCAATAAAATAATAATCTATAACTTATACTGCAAAAATATCTTTTTCAAAAAAGATATTTTTGCTAAAAACTTAGACTAAACATACTGGTACTTTTCTATGCAAATATCCTAAAAAAATCACAAGTAAAAGAAAATAAATATCATTTTAAAAAGTTCCATGAATTTTCCATGATTTTCAATAAAAATTTAGCAATTCCATGACTTTTTCCATGACCAAATAAAACTCATTTCCATGATTTCCATGACAAGTGGCCACCCTGAAATGGTTAAATTTAATTTTCTATTATTAGAACAGCTATAATATGTTCAGTTTGTAGAATGTAAAAGAATGTATACCTAATAGAATTATATCATGTATATCTAATAGAATTATATCTAACAGCTCCAAATAGAATGTATACCTAATAGAATTTTATTTTATTTAACAGCTCCAAATAGAATGTATATCTAATAGAACTATATCTTATCTAACAGCTACAAATAGAATGTATATCTAATAGAATTATATCTTATCTAACAGCTGCAAATAGAATGTTTAACTAATAGAATTATATCTTATCTAACAGTTACAAATAGAATGTATATCTAATAGAATTATATCATATCTAATAGCTATAAACAGAATGTATATCTAATAGAATTTTATCTTATCTAACAGCTACAAATAGAATTTGTAGTTATTAGATAAGATAAAATTATAGGTTTGATTTTTATATAAGATTTTTTATTAGCAACAACAACATTTTATTATTTTTGAGAAATTTTATTTACTTTTATTTCCTTGTTTATATATAGAAAAAAAATATTTTTATTCAAAGGAAATTAAAATCAAATTTAAAATAATTTGTTACAAAATAAAAAACAAAATTGCTAAGTAAGAGAAACCCAAGCAGATAAAAAAACACTTCTGTTCTAAAGTTGAGTTTCAAAGTGTTTTAAAACGACAAACAAACATCTAAAACTAAACTAAACACTAAATCTTACACAAACCAAGTTTGCGATAGTGTTATACTGCTCATAAAAACTCTAAATTAAAAAGCTATCTTTATCACCTGAATGTTTAAAAATTAATTTTATTTTAATATTTATGATTTTCAAACCTAGTAGCTTTCTGTCAGATTTAAACCCAGTTATTTCATTTTCTTAGGGTTTCATTTTTAAATTTTAGCCATATTTAGCTTTATTTATTTTAGCCATACCAATTTATCTTATTTAGATAATAATTACATGTATACTATGAGCATATACCTAAGTACTAAATTTCCTATTTTTCATAAAATTAAGATTGAATATCTCTCAGCAACATTTTCATTTTTTTCATTTTGTTTGGAGTGAGAGGGATAGGATTGCAGAGGGATAGGAGTGCAGAGGGATAGGAGTGAAAGGGATAGGAGTGAGAGGGATAGGAGTGCAGAGGGATAGGAGTGCAGAAGGGAGTGCAGAGGTGCAAAATAACTTGTTTAAGTTAAACTGTTAAATCATAAAGTGGCATTATTTTCATCTAGATTTCCTTAAAAAATAATAATAAAATGGCTAACAACATTTGTTTTATTTTAAAGCAATCAAAACCCTTGGTATTAAACCGTAATACCGGTTTAATACCGGTATTAAACTTTTTTAAAAAATTTATCATATTAATAAAATCTCAAGTTAATAGTAAAAATTTCATTGATTCAATAAGCTTATTTATTTTATATCAAAATTACTGATTTTTTAATTTTTTGCTTTTTTCTCCTTTGTAAAATGAACCATAAGAAACATAAAGCGTTCAGCATATCATCCTCAAGAGATAATCATAATTTTGTGACAATGTTGCCACTTGCTGAAAATCCACACTCAGATTTGACATTTGTTGGCTTCACTGAGTTCAAGTATTTGTAGTAATTTTGCAAATATATGCCACTATTTCTTCCTTCTTCGAAAACTGTGGTCTGATTACATATAATTTTTGATAAATTAATAAATATAAAATAATAAATTTTGATAAAATCTTACTTTGTTACATTTCTTATTTTTCAATATTGCTAAGTTTTTCTTTCAATGCCAAGCTTACAGCATAGTCAGCAGAATCGCTATCAGAAGAAATGCTGGTGGAAGGGAGAGGATTATATGTTTCTAATTGAGCCAATCATTCAGTTAAGCAACATTATTTACAATGGCTGTTTTGCTAAGGTGCTCAAAAGATAGCGCTAGATCCAAATTCTCAAAATGTTGATGGCCCTTGTGAAGATATTGTAGTAAACTGGAAAAAGATGTACGTCGCTCATTGAAAAATCGTACCAGCATAGCTTTCAACTTAACAGCTAAATCGGTTTCTCCAAGATTATCTTTTATCTCCAAGATTATCTATTATGAACATTGTGCTGTATCGGCTGACAACAGTGTTACATCATTTTGACACAATGCTTCCACAGCCAAACTTTGGAACAACAAACCCACAAGCTTCTTGTTCTCAGTTCTGCTATCATGACAAACAGTCAAGGGCAAATGTAGAAAACACTGCAGGAAATATATTGTCACATTGATTTTGTAAAAAATTGGTGATCAGAGATTTGTATTTTTTGGCCGTTGACAACGGTACCGATGAGGAAACCGATAACGATGTTGCATCTTAGGACAATTTCCTCTTCAGCAAGCCAATTTCATGGTTAGTTCTTAGATTTGTATGGTACTTCTACCACTTGATTTTATATCTTTGCTGCATTTCTAACACTATGCAAGTTAATTTTCATTATCACGTAGAAAATAAGACTCGTACACCGGTGCTGATCTCTTTGAATTTTTAAGACCTTTTATGTCTTAAAAAGTATTCAAAGAGTTTAGCAGCACACCCCCCTACTTTTTTTCCAAATGACTTTTTTTTTATATAAAATTCCAGATATATAGGACTTTTTTTAGAAATTGATGGTTTTGCTCCTCCACTTCCAAACCCAAGTTGTTGGTCGTGCTTTTACATAAATGAAAGCAATTGCACCCGGTATATCACAAGCGCTCTACATACATTTTCAATATTGTTATTGAGCCAAATCAATATCTGTTCTTGAAAAAGTCTAGTAATACCGGTATCGGTACTACCAGTATTGGAAGCACTAAATATGTGTAATATTATATACATAATTGTTTACTTTTAGACATTTGGCAAACTAGCTCAAAAACTGTTTGAGAAACAGTTTATAAATTTTATAGACATAACATTTTAGCAACATTTAATTGATAAAACCGGATATTTGCCAGAAAAATTTTGATCTAGTTTTAGATAAAAATTAAGTTTCAGGTGAATTTAGAACTGAGGTCTGAAATGTTTAGTTTAAAATTTTTTTTTTCAAAAACTACAAAAATAAATAAAATATAAAATAATTTCCTCAGCCCAATTTTTTTTCAAAAAACAGATTAAGGAATGCTTATGATGCATTTCCTTAGAGTAAATGTATAATACCTTTCACACTGATTGCATGACCAGGCATTGGTATATTTAAATAAACACCAGTTGCATCCTACATGAAAAACTTATGAATAAAATTTATTTTCTAAATTTAGAAAAAAATAAATAAAAAAGATTACACATACCACTCCAGGAAAAATTCTTTTTAAAGATTCTGCTGCAGCTTGTGCTTTAACCTTTCCACCATTTAAACAATCCTCAAACTGGAAAAGAGTCTGACGAACAGGATTTGAGAAAGAAACTCTTGAATTATCAACAAATGTTATCTTTTGTATGCCCCATCCCTTAAAATTTAATGCATAAAAAACTTCAAAAAAATAATTCAAAAATAAGTATAAGATGTAAAAGTAACTGTGTAACTCTATAATGATGTTAAAAGGGATATTTGCAGTAATTTTTAACTTTAAAAGGGATATTTGCAGTAATAATGATACAAAATACATAGTATAAATTTATACAAACAATAATATATCACACTTTGTTTTTTTACTAAGTCAATATGATTAGATGATGTGGAAATATACAAATAGGAAACACATCTGTGAATCAATTGCTTAAATAAAGATTTAATATTTAAAGCAGGAATGGGGACCTCTTTCTGTCTCTAGACAGTATAAGAAGATAAAATACCAATAAAGATCTTGCAACATTGCAGCCCAAAGTTCCTGATCCTAAAAGCAAACACTTTGTTGACTTTATTTTATCTAAATCCAAGTCAGGTACCAACCTCCAACGCATCAATTTTAAATTTAAATCTACAGCTGATTCTGCTAATTTTAGAGGATCCATAGTAGCGCTGAGATTTACCATTCGTGGACCCATTTTACCTCGTTGATTTTTTTCCCAACCAACAACATTATTCTCTAAAAAAAAATATTTCTCTAAGTAATCTGTAACTAAATAACTATTTCTCCTAGCTATCTTATTCAGAAGTGTGTTCTTAATAGATTTTCAGGATTTTCTGGGTATAAAAATATAGGACATTATTTAGGACATATTTTTTTAAGTTCTAAAAAAAGCTTTTGATTTTCTGAAACATGCACAAATAATAAAACTTCCTGTTTATTTTTCTGAAGCATGCAAAAATATTAATTACCAAAAATGTAAAATAACTTCTATTTTTAACATTTAAATCAAAAAATAAAAAACATTAGTGAAAACAAGCTTGTTGATTAAATTGATAAATTATAATATCATTAGTTATGATGTTGAACTCATTGGCGAAATTTTTTATTTTTACAATTTTTATGCAGTTTTTTTCATTAACTCAAATTTTAATGGTTTGGATATCAGCATAAGTTGAATACCAGCAGGTTTTACTTGTCTTATGAAGCACTGCTAGCTTTAAAGCAATTTACTTACAAATTTTGATTAACCACCTTGTTGAACTTTTTATTTAAAAACTAGGCACATATAACATTGTATATGATAAATATAATGCACACATACTTTTAGATATTCCAATGTATATAATAATGTAATACTATGTAAAATACATAGTATTATATGCAGGGATGTCCCAAAAAAGACTCCAGATTTAAAAGTTAAAAAATATTAAAAAAAAGTTTTTAAAAGTTAAAAAAAATCTCATCCTGGTTTTTGGTATCCAGGAGCTCAAAAAATGCAAAAGGGCTTATGGAATACTTTTGGGAAAAAAATTAAGACATTTAGGTTAGAGGAACAACCCATTTTTAAACTCAGAGTCATTATATATAATGGTGACAAAAACTCCACGTCTCAGGGACTCCAGGCTTAAAAACAATAGAATTCAATTCATTTATCTAATGAATTTTTTACTTATTGCAGATCATAAGTCACTCAACATTTTTAGAGTTCCTGGAAATCAAAGACCAGTAAAAATTAGGGATTCAAAGTCAGAGTCCTTTTGGGACTCTGCATCTCTGATTTTGTCATAATTTGCTTTAAATTTTTTTTGACTATTTAGTAATTAAATAGCATTATTTGTGTAAAAATAGAAATATTGACATTATTTTTGAAAAAAAAAAAAAATATATATATATATATACAGAATGCAGAAATATATATACAGAAGTTTTGTTGTAACCTTACATGTTTAAGAACTCACTTAACATGTAAGATTACAACAAAACTAACCCAAAACTCAATCATAAGTTAGATCAAAACATCTGTTGCTAAATATATATATATATATATATATATATATATATATATATATATATATATATATATATATATATATATATATATATATATATATATATATATATATATATATATATATATATATATTTATAAAGGCACAGTTATATGAGTGGGTCGAGGAGCATGAAACCTGAAAAGTACAAAATTGGAGCAAGGTAATACAGACACCCTATTACAAAAGGATACAGACACCCTATTATCATTGGCATGATTTTGACTGAAATGTATAATTATGCACAATATGATTTTAAATATAAGAACATCACAAGTGCTGAGTATTCAAATTTTGTTTAAACGGCCTCTTCTCTTTCAGATGGTCTTTTCTGATGAACCCACAATTGCAGTTTTAGATGACAGGAAGTTTGTGTCCAGACAGTTTGAAGAAAGTTATGAGAAGAGTTTAAACATGACTGCTTAAAGAAGACTGTGAAATTTCCAAAAAAAATCATTGTTTGGGGAGCCATATATGTAAAACATTCCAGACATGAATCCAATTGAGAACTTACGGAACTAATTGAAAGATAAGGTCCACAGTGTACTCATTACAAAAAAAACTAAACTGATTGAACGATTGGTTCAGGTGTGGTTCCATAGTGAAAAAAATTAAAGAACTTTGTCAAAGTTTGGTTTTTTCTATGGCTAACTGCGTTAGTGCCCTAAAATTGGCTTAAGATGGCCAAACTAAGTACTGAAATGTTTGGTAGACTATTTGAAAGAGCTATTAAATATGTTAGAGATATTAAATATTTTTATGACTTATTCATAATATATATATATAATATATAATATATAATGTATAATATATAATGTATAATATATAATGTATAATATATATATATATATATATATATATATATATATATATATATATATATATATATATATATATATATATATATATATATATATATATATATATATATATATATATATTATACATTATATATTATATATTATATATATATATTATGAATAAGTCATAAAAATATTTAATATCTCTAACATATTTAATACCTCTTTCAAATAGTCTACCAAACATTTCAGTACTTAGTTTGGCCATCTTAAGCCAATTTTAGGGCACTAACGCAGTTAGGCATAGAAAAAACCAAACTTTGACAAAGTTCTTTAATTTTTTTCACTATGGAACCACACCTGAATCAATCGTTCAATCAGTTTAGTTTTTTTTGTAATAGGTACACTGTGGACCTTATCTTTATAATGTATAATATATATATATACATATATATATATATATATATATATATATTATATATATATTATACATTATATATATATAATATATATATATATATATATATATATATATATATAATATATATATCTATATATATCTATATATATATATATATATATATATATATATATATATATATATATATATATATATATATATATATATATATATATATATATATATATATATATATATACTGTGGACCTTATCTATATAATGTATAATATATATATATATATATATATATATATATATATATATATATATATATATATATATATATATATATATATATATATATATATATATATATATATATATATATATATATATATATATATATATATATATATATATATATATATATATATAATATATATATTTTTTATTTAATTCACCTCCTCAAGGCCGAAAAGGCAACTAAAGATGAGGAGGCTGCTTATTTGTGGTTATAACCCTCTCTCAACTCTATAACTCCGAAACACGAACCTTGACGAACAAGGCTGCTGCGCGGAGAAATGAGTTGAGCGCGGTACTACCAGGGACGTGGTGGGGATCGGAACCACTCGTTTATGAAGCAAGCACTCTACCACTACACCACTACCGCATTTATATATTTTTAAATATATATATATATATTTTAATTTTATTTAGGTGCCCCAAGAAGTCCTTACGGTCTTATCACAGAGCAACCTGGACGAGCATTTAATCGGAAGTTCACGCCTCCTTCCTAACCGATATAGCAAAACCTGCCCAGAGGTGGGGTTTGAACCATGGATCCTTTGTGTCTGAGGCAAGTGCACAACCACTGCGCCACGGCTGCTCTAATACGGCTGCTCTTATATGCTCTAAAATGCTCTCTTTATATATATGGCTGAAAATGATCTATATATATATATATATATATATATATATATATATATATATATATATATATATATTACTCCATGGCATATGGCTCCACTATATATATGGCTGAAAATGCTCTAAACGGCTCCACGGCTGCTCTAATATGCTCTTAAATGCTCTTTCTCTCTCTCTCTCTCTCTCTCTCTCTCTCTCTCTCTCTCTCTATATATATATATATATATATATATATATATATATATATATATATATATATATACATATACATATACATATACATATACATATAATATATATATATATATATATATATATATATATATATATATATATATATATATATATATATATATATATATATATATATATATAACATGCTGCCTGCATAGATGGTTTTGGGTGGGCCTTCTTGTGTAATTAAAACTATTATGTTTTGATAATTTTTGATATTACCACTAACTTTTTTTGATCATCCAGGGATATCAAAAAAGTATTTGTTTTTCAACAATAAAAATGCAGAAAAACAGACTTGTATTTCAAAAAAATCTCTATATTTCATTCTTTTTTAAATTTAGTTTCTATATTTTTATTTTATAAATTATTTTTTAAATAATAATATAAAAAATGTTATAATATAATTAATCATTTTCAAAACGACAATATAAAAATACAGTTATACAATATATTGCTATTTTATAAAAAGTATTTATTGTATTTTTATATTTTATTATAAAAGTTCATTTCTATTTTTCTTTGTTAATAAAAATGTCATAGAAATTTTGTGAATAAAAATGTCATAGAAATTTTGACGATTATAATAACAAGTGGAAGAACAACAAATCATTTAAAAAGAATAACAGATCATTTAAAAAAATCGCTTAATCACAAAAAAAATGGCAGAATTTCTTTATTCAAACATACTGACATTTTTTTAAAAATTTTATGGTGAATGTATTAATTTAACTAAGTATATTTATATATTAATGTTTTATTAAAATATTAAAATATTAATTTTCTTTATTATCTAACAATTCTAATTGTTTAAGTTTTTAAATTTTTAGCAATTACTGAAAACCTATAACATATTTTTTGAAATGCATGCATATACTATATGTGAAAATTAGTTTTGTAATTTATGCTATTTATATAATTATCTTTCTAATATATATTATTATAATTTTTTTTGTTATTGATACTATTACTGATATTATTATTACAATTATTGATACTATTTAATATTACATTAATACTCTTAATGAAATTTGAAATATAATTCTTTTAACAATTTTTTGGTTTTCTATTTATATTTCCGTCTTTATTAGAGATTTTTTATTAGAAAACACAGACTGCCATTACGCCCTACCAAATATAAAAACATCAATATTTTTGTAAGTGAAAGTTTAATCGGCCTTCAGTTTTTACGGCGTTTTGGGCGACATCAAGGCCTGTTATTATAGAAGGCCGTGTTATTAAGTAATATTATGATGTAAAAAAGTGAAATATATGCATGCATTTCAAAAAGGTGAAATACAGGGCTGTGGAGTCGGAGTTGGAGTTGCGGAGTTGCAACTTTTTTAGCGGAGTCGGAGTCACTAAACAAAATCGCAACTCCGACTCCAATAGTTCTCGGTATTGCACATGCATGTACAAAACATTAAATTAGCCTTATGTTAATACTAAACCTCAAAGAACGTTTCATAAATTTGTCAAAAAAGAAATTTTTAACTTATTGCATAATATTTTTTAAAGAATTCAAACTCCACACCCCTCATAAAATATATGCATGCATTTCAAAAAAGTCAAATATATGCATGCATTTCAAAAAACATGTTATTATAGGTTTTCAGTAATTGCTAAAAATTTAAAAACTTAAACAATTAGAATTGTGACAGCTTTAGTACTTTCGTTTTAGATTCTTTGCTACTGCTGGGAGTGGTAATTATTGCATAATTCTTTAGCAAAATATTAGAATATACTCTGCATTGTTTTTTTGTGATTTTAAATTTATATTTAGCTGCAATGAACTGAAACTGAGTAACACAAAATGTTCTGCATAAAGGGCCAGTAGCACTTTGAAAAAACAAAAAGCAAAATATTGACCATTGGACTAGAGTATCTGAAGGAATTTCAAGTCCGCTTCTGTTTAGGCTATTCAGACAACTTCCATATATAATAATAATTGTTAGTGTCATCATTAATCTTTATTTCGCTTTTTTGCACATAGCCAGCTATGTAAACTATAGCCACTAATGTAGATTTATTAATTGAGCTTTCAAGATCATGTATATTATCCAGCAGTTCTTTTTCATCAGTAGAAATATCTCTAAAACATGTGTAACAAGTATGACCATCAATACCATCAACAGGAATGTCAAGTTGTAGTATCAATTTAGTATGTTGAATATTAATTTTTACAGACTTAGCGTTTATAAAGTAAGTACCTTCAGATCCCTGTCGAAGTTTAGAAAAACTTTTTTCAAGTGGATCTGTTGTAAACCAACCTAATAAAACATACTTTGCTCCATTACTCAACAAAGTTTCTACAAGATCAATTAGACCATAACATGTATGCGCATTGCTATATAAACAGCTTACTTCTAGATACTAGCAATATTGCATTGCTAGTATCTAGAGTAAGCTGTTTTACACGCTTACCTGTAGGTTTCATGTAACTAGACAGTTTAGCAATACTTCGTAGCAGTTGTAACTGTTGATCACCAACAGAGTGGATTTCTCCACATAATTCATTTTTAAACCGAATGCCAGCGCCAGGTGCTTTGAGATTTACAACATTCCAAAAAGAAATAATTTTTTCAATAAATACAGCAGTACCTTCAAATGCTTTATTTTCAATCTCTAGATGTGTTCTTAATGCAGCTACTGTTTCTTCGCAAAAAACAGACAAACAAAACTTTACAGATTGTCTCTCTATTGGTTTTGGATAAACTGATTTAGCTGTAAGTTTAGAGAGTTTAAAAAAAATATTGCACTCAGTTTTATATAAAGTTTCTAAATCACTCCATTTAGCCAAAGCTAGTTTTCCATTGTTCAAAAATTGAAGTTGGCCAGTCTTTTCTGTTAACCAATTGTTTCGTATAGATTTCAAGAGATGCACATAATCATACAATAAATATATACCTGATGTTGTTAACCATGGTTTATTATCAACTGTTTCAAACATTTCAAAAAACCTTTGATTTACACGGTTACCATCAGTAATTATTGCCAGTGTTTTACTATTTTCAATATTATTTATTGTATCAACAATTTGTTGACATTGAGTAAATTGAATTTCAGAAGAAAGATTTGCAACAGGTTGAGCTCTACATATAAATTCTGGACAACCAAAAAGACATTTAATCATAAATGATAAAATTGTTTTAGCTGACTTTTCAGGGTAGTTTACTGCTTGACCAAACAAAGCACCTCTTTGGTAAAGTAATGAAGCTTTAACATAAACCTCATCAATTAGTAGTATGGAAGTTCTTTTCAATGGATCTAAATTCATAAAAATACTATTTACAAAATTTAGGTCCTCCATCGAGCTTATTTTTGAAGTAAATCATGTTAAAGTCCGTATACTTGGCAACTTGCAGTCAATACATAAACGATCATATAAACTTCGTTGCATAGCAAAATACTAATATGCTATACATATAATATCTGGAGTATATAAACTTCACCAACTTTAACTTTTCTCATAGCATTAAGGTGCTCAAATAAAATATTTGACTGATGCGAACTTTCTTTATTTTTTAAAAATCTAACTGCTTCAAATAAAGCTGATTTTGTTTTTATTAACTTTAATTTGTTTACAGTTAAAGATAAAATATTACAAGTTGTGCCATTATAGTAAGCTACAAATGAATAATCATCGAAAATTTCTAAAATAAATAATGGAACACCAAGTTTGGACATTTTTGATTGTATGTGTAAACTTTTTTTACTAAGCTGGAAAACAATAACATCGTTATTATCACTTAACAAAGATTGAATATCGTCAAATATAAGTTCATCCTTTTTTAGAAATCACTTAACTCATCTGGTAGATTGTTTTGAAAACCGCTTGAAGTTACAGTTTTTATAACTTTACTTGCTGGTGTGGGTAAACAACTAATTGGCATATTTTTAAAAACAGATGGTGGATTTAAAGGCTGTTGCTTCCCATATTTGCTTTTAAAAGGTGCATCATCTGGCCAATGGAGTCGACATACTGCTGTATAGTCTGAAACAGTAAAACCAGTTCTTGGGATAGCATCACTCCATCTTTTTCTCTTCTCTGGATTCTTTGGGAATTTGTAAATTGATATTTTTGTTGTAGTTGAGTAATAGTTCGACTTGCAAAGAGGTACACAGCATTTTAAAGGCATTTCAATTATTAAAATATCTATAATAATTATTATAATATCTGTAATAAGGCCAATATTAACGTCTTGAACCTAACAACGTCTTGAAGTTGCGCTATCTAATTTATAAACCAATCAAATTTAAAAAATTTATTAAAAATGCGCGAACGCAAAACTTTCGTTAAACGTTAAAAGAATGAAATGTAAACACAGCATTAGATATCGGCCTTCAGTTAAACAACTTAGTTGCGCGATGTCAAACGTTAAAAGAATGAAATGTAAACACAGCATTAGAAGGCCTGTTATTATAGAAGGCTGTGCTTAATAATAATAAAATAAAATTTTTTTTTAACACATGCTAAATTAAATTTTTTAATTTAAAAAAGAAACAGTTTTAAACTTGGAGTTTGGCATCCACATTTTTTTTTTTACAAAATTACATCCTTTGAGAAATTTTTAAAGAATAACTAAATAAAAAACATCAAAAAATTTAACATTTTTTTAACAAGAAAATTTGTATTTTCCAAAGGCTTTATTTTGCCTGTGTAAACTGATTTACACCTGTGTGGAAGGTGGCGCAGGCTTCCACACCATACCTGCTAAAGCCTTATATCGTATAACACCTTATATCGTATATAAGAATATGACATTTAAAAATATATAAATATATATGTGTGTATGTGTGTAAACCTTCTAATTCAATTTCTGGCAAGTTATCTATCTCAAGAAACAAGCTGTGTTTAATTTCACGTTTCCCATTGTTGAATCTATCACGGTAGCAAATCACAGACAAATGATTAATAGAAGATTTTCTAAAATAATAAGCACTTGTTTAAAAATCAGGATAAAAAAGTACAAATAATATATATATATATATATATATATATATATATATATATAAAGTACAAATAATATATATATATATATATATATATATATATAAATATATATATATATATATATATAAATATATATAAAGTACAAATAAAATATATATATATATATATATATATATATATATATATATATACATATATATATATATATATATATACACACATAATAATAATATAAAAAATGTTATAATAAAATCATAATCATAATCTAACGAGAGATCAAAGAAAAGCATTAAAAGAAATTAATCAAGACAAGAAAATTGATATTTATCCAATTGATAAAGGAATAGGATTCTTGAAAATAGTACATGATAATGCAAAAAATTAGAGAACAGATTGGCCCAACAAAAATTATTAGTATTGATCCCACTCTGAGTTATGCAATCTAAATAAAGTCTTTTCTTTCAAAGCTTTAATAAAAAGTTTTTCTAAAGATGAATATAAAAGCATATATCCAAGTGATCCTGTCTCACCACCTTTATATGTGCTTATTAAAGCTCATAAACAAGACAAATCTTATCCAATAAAAGTCGTTGTATCAACTATTGGCACACCTTATTATAGAATTTCAAATTACTTGGTTAAAAGAATACAACCGGTCTTAAATAAAAACCCTATTAGGTTAAAAAATTCAAAAGACTTTATTAACAAAACTAAGTTGTGGTTAATTGACAAAGATGAAATGCAGGTATCCTTTGATATTGTGAACATATACCCATCAATACCATTAAAAGAAGCAACTTTAATACTTTTGGATTAAACAAAAACTCAACTAAACTTACTTTAACTGAAACAAAACAACTAATTGAACTTTGTTTTGTTGTTATTTCTTGTGGAATGGTGAGGTTCATGAGTTAGAGAATTCAGGCCCAATTGGATTGTCTTTTATGGCTGGCTGAATATTTTTTACAATAACATAAGGAAAAGGCAATAAAAATGGCAATGACAATGATTCTATCAATTGATATTAAATCCTTTCATAGATATGTAGATAATAGTCATGCTAGGTTTTCTAACTTAAAGAAAGCGAAAAAGTTCCAAACAATCCTAACAGGCAACATCCTTCTTTAAAATATACTATTGAAGTTGAAAACAAAAATAAGATACTTAACTTTCTAGATATAACTGTTATTAATAATACACAAGAAAAATATGAGTTCAAGGTTTACAGGAAAGATATAACCAATATCCAAATCAAACCTCATTCTAATTATGATCCCAAAAATTTAAAAGTAATATTCAACGGATACATACACAGAGCATACTCATTATGCAGCGAAAATCATTTAGAAGATGAGATAAATTTTTTAATTCAAGTGTTTACTAAAAATGGATACAATGAAAAAATGCCTAAAGATATTTCTTATCAGGTTCAAAAAAAACGTTTAGCAAATAAAAATGAAATTCTATCAAACTCTAATAACCTTCCTACAATCTCTTTACCATCACCCAGACTTAAAAGAATAATAATGTAACCAGAAAAACTGGTTACAGAACTGTTTTAAATCAAATACTAACCAAAAAATGCTATTAACGTCTAAAAATAAATCAAAATTAACACGTAACAGCCAACCAGGAACCTAAGTGCAAATGCTCCAAAGTATATGTCGGTAAATCAAAACTTCAAAACACCAAAAATATTTGACTGAAGGCAAGTTAAACCAGTCTGCATTAATTTTGCATAAAGTAAATTGCAATGAGGACATTTAGGACATTTAATGTGATAAAGCAGAAACACTTAAAGTTGAGTATAAAAAATTTGAAAGAAAAGTCTGTGAATCCTTGGAGATACAAAAACATCAATGTTTATCATTGTACGGTGGTATAAATTTTGACAATGGACATTATGTTAAAACTTCATTTTGGACTTCATTTTTTGTACATTTAAGTAAAAGAAACCATTATAAAGGTGACGCCAAAATTTAAAATTTTTGTTGTTATTTAATGGTCACAAATTTTTTGTAATTATATTATATGCTGATGATGTCTGTGCTAAATCAGGCAAAAATGTCAAATAAATTATTTAGTATTGAGAGAATTTATATTATCTGAATTAGTATATATATATATACATATTTGAGGTTGGCAAAAAATTGCTGACCTTATTTCTATGTTTTATGGTAATCCCTTAGTGTCAAATTTTTTTATGCCGAGATCTAACAGTTTGAGGTTGGCAACAAATTTATTGCCGACCTCATTTCTTCTAATTCCAAGGATTGATATATAATTACATACATATACATATATATATACATATATATATATATATATATATATACATGTATATATATTTATATATATATATATGTATATATATAAATATATATATATATATATATATATATATATATATATATATATATATATATATATATATACATATACATACATACATACATATATATATATATATATATATATATATATATATATATATATATATATATATATATATATATATATATATATATATTTATTTATATATACATATATACATATATACATATATACATACATATATATATATACATATATATAAGTCATAGCATGCCATGACATAAGCAATCAGCTGACAGGTGACAGCACACAGGCATAATTTTTTTGACAAGTGCCATTTTGAAGTGGACAAAACAAGGGCAACTTTTTTGGTTTGTTTAATTTAAAAGTCTGGTCCGTGTCAACGTCACAGAAGTTTTTTAATAACTAAAGGAAGTTTCCAGAGGTTTTCAAAAGCATGCAGAAGCTTCCAGAAGTTTCCAGAAGAAGCATCTGGAAGCATCCAGAAGTATCCTGAAACATTCAGAAGCATCTGGAAACATCCAGAAGCATCGAAAAGAAGCATCTAGAATCTACCAGAACAGGTTCACACAGGTTCATTTTACTATATAAGAGACATGTAATTCAGTCAGTATATGGAAGTCAATCAGTCAGTATTATCAAGACAGTTTATCGAAGTGAGTTTTATCAAAGTGTTTTATAAAAAAATATCAATACAAGAAGTGAAATACAACAAGTGTTTCATTACATCAATACAGTCCCCATCCAACCAAGACGTTGTGTTCCACAGAGCATTATTGTATCATCACAAGGTAAATGTAACAGGGTAAGCCTTTAGAAGCGTGATTATTTATTTTTATTATTTTTATTACTTCAAGTGCAAAAATGGCTCCCAACAGTCTTGGATTGGAACTAAGAAAGAAAATTATTGGCGATTACGTCACAAAATTGTCACAAAAAAGTATTTGTGATAAATATTGCGTGAAAAAATGGACCGTATCAAGACTATGTTTCAAATATCGTTCTACCGGGAAGTTGGCAGCAGATAACAAAGGTGGAAGACTGCGTTCCACCGCTTCTAGAGAGGATTTTATGATCGTCAGATCCGTCAAGAAGGATCCCTGTATATCATCAGTCGAGATACAAAAGCAATTAGAGCTGCCTGTATTGGACCAAACAATCAGACGACATGCTGTTGAAGCCGGATTGTTTTCTCAACGCCCTGCAAAGAAACCGCTGATTTCACTAAAGAACTAGATGAAAAGACTCCAGCTTGCTACATCTCATATTGACTGGAATGTGCAGAAATGGCGAACTGTCCTGTTCAGTGATGAATTGAAGTTCAACATCAATTCAACTGTCCTGTTCAGTGATGAATTGAAGTTCAACATTCCGGCCAGTCGACTTCGTTGGGAGCGATGGCATTTGCCATCGCTCCCAACGAAGTCGACTGGCCGGAAAACGCCTTGATTTAAGTTACTGCCATAAGACCGTGAAGCATGGTAGAGGCAATGTAATGGTCTGGGGGTGTTTTTCTGCTAACAGTTTAGGTCCAATACATCGAATCAATGGAATAATGGACCGTTTCATGTATAAAAATATCCTGAAAGATGTTATGTTACCTCATGCTGAATGGAATATGCCAATAAAATGGGTTTTTCAGCAAGACAACGATTCGAAGTACACTGCAAAAGTAGTCAAGCAGTGGTTTCAAGACAACTACCTATCGGTGATGGATTGGCCGCCTCAATCTTTGGATTTCAACCCTATCGAGAACCTGTGGGAAATCATCAACTGCAGAATTAATCGTAAAGGTGTTTGTAATAAGGATCAACTGTTTGAACAAATCCAAAAGGCCTGGGCAGCGATTCCACAAAGTTTCATTGATTACCTGATCGAATCTATGCCTCGAAAATGCAACTCTGTGATCAACAACAAAGGATTCGCCACAAAATATTGATAGTGAAATACAGCTCGGTCAACATTTTGTGGAGTTGCACTTGTTTTTTCCAGAAGGAAATTAACTTTTTTTAATACTTTTGATTAATTTATTAATTTTCGTGGACAAATAATAAATTTGTGATGAATAAAACTTGAAGAATATTGTCTCTAAACAGTTACATAATTATTCTCTAAATTGAAAAAATGCAGCACTTGTATATAAAGAAACTAAATTAGCATTATTTGGTTGCACTTGTTTTTGTACATATGTATTTTGTACATATGTACATATGTGTATATATATATATATATATATATATATATATATATATATATATATATATATATATATATATATATATATATATATATATATATATATATACATATATATATACATATATATATATACATATATATATATATATATATATATATATATATATATATATATATATATATATATATATATATATATATATATATATATATATATATATATATATATATATATATAGACTGTTTATAAAATTTTTAAACTCCTAATTAATTATCTCATCAAGAAAAGTAAATAATTTTTCATTATATAATATCATTTATAATAATATACATTATAAGTTTTGTATTGTGTAATTTTAAAAAGATATGATTTTGCAATATCATATTACATTAGGAACAAGCCCTCTGTGCATCCTAAG